TCGAAACAGTTTGAGTGTTTTAACAGATAACATGGTAGTTATACTGGATCTAAAAAATTGCTAAAAGTAAACTGAATTGTCAGAGTAATGACAAGTTTTCAAATGAATCTGTAAAATTACTAAGTTTTCATTGTTCAAAGAGATAACTAAAACTAATGCTGCCGAAAATAGGCCTACCCTACATATGACATGTTTGTAACATTAAATATTGGTAGCAGAGAACTTGAAAGTGAAGAAGGAGCAGTTGTGTTTATCGCTTCAAAGGTGCTGTTGGACTTATTCGGGAGTGTGCTGAAGTCGAAAATCACCATGCCAAGTGTGTTGATCAATAAAACTTGAACACAAACACAGATAATGTTCATGACTACACCTGGTTTCACCTACAAGAGAGAAAACGGACTTCAGTTTTCACGAGAAAGAAAAATTCATAGTTTTTACTTGTTGAATTTTTCTGTTTCTACTGATAAGAAAGATAAGTTCCTAATTAGGAATAACAGTTTCAGTTAAATGTAACTAAGACATGGAATTTTTACCAATAGATTTACATATAGCTTATAAAATGAATTAAAATGACGATATAGTTTTGCATACACCAGGCTTGAAAACTTCAAATCTTTAAAAGATATTTAACTAAAGCTTACCATGTCTAATGTTTTCATCCTTGCACTTTCAAACACTATCGCATTAGGCGGTGTAGCAACAGGCAACATATAGACGATATAGTTTTGCATACACCAGGCTTGAAAACTTAAAATCTTTAAAAAATATTCATCTAAAGCTTACCATGTCTAACGTTTTCATCCTTGCACTTTCAAACACTATTGCATTAGGCGGTGTAGCAACAGGCAACATAAAGGCAAAGGAGCACGTGACTGTGACTGGTAACATCATGTACAAAGGATGAACATCCAAAGCCAGACTCTTCAAAATATAGATCATCAGAGCAATAAATTATCTTAGTATAGATTCATATTACAATGTGATAACTCAAATATTGAATGAAGAAAACTTTCATCACAGTTCCATGTGTATACTAGCACTCCCTGACTTACTAACACAGTCACATTCTACTTTACTACCACAC